GTTCACAGGTAAACAAACTGTGGTACATCTATACCATGGAATATTACTCAGCAACAAAGAAGAATGAACTGTTGATACATACAACACCTTGTAGAGAATTGTGCTGAATTTTAAAAGCTAATCTCAAAATATTATGTACTGTATGCTTCCATTTATATAAATTTCTTGAAAAGAGAAAATTAATGGTTAATGATTACGAGGGGTTAAGGACAGGATAGAGGGAGAGAGGGAAGGGAGGTGGGTGTGGCTACAAAAGGACAACAGCAGTACTCCTTATAGTGAGGGAATTGTTACTGTATCAATATTATTATCGTGGTTGTGATATTGTACAACAGTTATCCATTGGGGAAACTGGGTAAAGGGTTCATGGGATTGCTCTCTATTATTTTTTTTTAATTATGGTAAAATACACATAACATAATATTTACCATATTAACTACTTTTAAGTGTACAGTTCAACAGTGGTATCTTTGCATTGTTGTGCAACCAATCTCCAGAAATTTTTCATCTTACAACCTTGAAACTCTATACTCATTAAAAACTCTCTGTTTCCCCATCACCCAATCCCCTGACAACCACCATTCTACTTTCTGTCTCTTTGAATTTGACTACTCTAGATACCTCATGTAAGTAGAACCATACATTATCTGTCTTTTTATATCTGGCTTATTTCACTTAGTATAATGTTCTCAAGGTTCATCCATGTGGTAGCATGTGTCAGAACTTCCTTCCTTTTTAAGGCTGAATAATATTTCATTGATTGTGTATACTACATTTTGTTTATCCATTCATCTGTCCATGGACACTTGGGTAACTTCCACCTCTTGGCTCTTATGAATAATACTGCTATGAACATTGGTGTAAAAGTATATTTTTGAGGCCCTAATTCCAGTCTTTTTATATATACTGAGAAGTGGAATTGATGGATCATATGATAAATCTATTTTTAATTTTTTTAAGAAGCTCTTTTTTTCTTTTTGAGGAAGATTGGCTCTGAGCTAACATCTGTTGCCAATCTTCCTCCCTTTCCCCGTTTTCTTTTTTCTCCCCAAAACCCCAGTACATAGTTGCATATGCTAGTTGTAGGTCATTCTAGTTCTTTATGTGGGATCCCACCTCAGCATGGCTTGAGTGGTGAGTAGGTCCACACCCAGGATCTGAACCAGTGAACCCCAGTCCACCGAAGCAGAATGCGCGAACTTAACCGCTACACCATCGGGCTGGCCCCCTATTTTTAATTTTTTGAGGAACCGCTACAATGTTTTTCATAGTGGCTGTACCATTTTACATTCCCACTAATGATGGACAAGAGTTCCAGTTTTTCCACATTCTTGCCAACACTTGTTATTTTCTGTTTTATTTTCCAAATAGTAGCTATCCTACTGGGTATGAGGTGATATCTCATTGTGGTTTTGATTTGCATTTCCATAATGATTAGTGATGTTGACCATCTTTTCATGTACTTATTGCCCATTTGTATCTCTTCTTTGGAAAAATGTCTATTCAAGTCCTTTGCTGATTTTTTAATCAACTTGTATGTTTTGTTGTTTTTGAGTTGTAGGAGTTCTTTATATATTGTAGATATTAACTCCTTACCTGATATATGGTTTGCAAATATTTTCTCCTATTCCATAGGTTGCCTTTTCAGTCTATTGATTGTGTCCTTTGATGTACAAAAGTTTTTAATTTTGATGTAGACTATTTTAAACAAAAGTGGTGAGAGTAGGCATCCTTGTCTTGTTCCTGATTTTAGAGGAAATGCTTTCAGTCTTTTACCATTCATGTATGACCTTTATTATGTTGTGGTACTGTCCTTCTATTCCTAGTATGTTGAGGGTTTTTTATCATGAAAGGTTGTTGAAATTTGTCAAATGCCTTTTCTGATGATCATGTGTTTTTTCCCCATCATTCTGTTAATGTGGAGTATTACATTGATTGATTTTGTATATGTTGAACCATTCTTGCACTCTAGGAGTAAATTCAACTTGGTTGTGGTGTATAATCCTTTTATTATGCTGTTGAATGCTGTTTGCTAGTACTTTGTTGAGGATTTTGCATCAATATTTATAAGAGATATTGTTCTATAGTTTTCTTGTATTATCTTGGTCTGGCTTTGATATTAGGGTAATGCTGGCCTCATAGAATGAGATAGGAAATGTTTCCTCTTCTTAAATTTTTTGGAAGAGCTTGAAAAGGATTAGTGTTAATTCTTCTTTAAAGGTGTGTTAGAATTCACCAGTGAGCCTACTGGTCCTGGGCTTTTCTTTGTTGGGAGGTTTTTGATTATTGATTCAATATCCTTACTAGGTATATATTTGTTCAGATTTTCTATTTCTTCATGATTCAGTCTTGGTAGCTTGTATGTTTCTCAGAATTTATCCATTTCATATAGGTTATTTATGTTGTTAGCATACAATTATTCATAGTATCCTCTTATAATCCTTTTTATTTCTAAAAGATTGGTCATAATGTCCCATCTTTTATTTCCATTTTTAGTTATTTGAGTCTTCTCTATTTTTTTAGTTAATATAGCTAACATTTGTTTATTTTTGTTGATCTTTTCAAAGAAGCTTCTTGGTGTCATTGATTTTTTTCTATTGTTTTTCCATTCTCTATTTTGTTCAACTCTGCTCTAATCTTTATTATTCCCTTCATCGGCTACCTTTGGTTGTAGTATGTTCTTGTAGTAGTTTGCAAACTACTACAAGATCTTAACTACAGTTACATGCAAAAACTCTACTCCTTTACAGCCCTGCCCCCCAACACTATGATATTGATCTCACAAAGTTCATCATTATATTTTGTGTACCCATTAACATAGATTTATAGTTATTCTTTATACTTTTGTCTTTTAAATCCTATAAAATAATTGAAATTGGAGTTAAGACTCAAAATTACAATTGTACAGGATTTTATGTTTGCCTATGGGTTTACTTTTACCAGAGAACTTTATATTTTTGGATAGCCTCAAGTTACTGTCTAGTGTCCTTTTGTTTCACCTTGAAGGACTCCATTTAGCACTTCTCATAGGGCTGATCTAGTGGTAATTAACTCCCTCAGCTTTTGTTTATCTTGGAATGTCTTAATTTCTCCCTCGTTTTTGAAGCATAAGGATTTTGCTGGATAAAGTATTCACAACTAACAATATTTTTCTTTTAGCACTTTAAAGATATCATCCCACTGCAGTCTGGCCTTCAAGGTTACTGCTGATAAATCCACTGATAATCTTTTAGTGGCTCTCTTGTACATAATGTCACTTTTCTCTTGCTATTGTCAAGATTCTCTCTTTGTCTTTGACAAACTGTCTTTGGTTATTGGATTTTAACATGTCTCATTGTGGATCTCTTTGGACTTATCTTACTTAGAAATCATTGAGCTTCTTATATTGTATGTCTGTTCTCAAATTTGGGAAGGTGGGGCTATTATTTCTTCAAATAACCTCTCCACCACTTTATCTCTTCTTCTGGGACTCCCATAATACCTATATTAGAACACTTAATGGTACGCCATAAGTCCCTTGGGCTCTGCTCACTTTTCTTTATTCTTTTTGTTGTTGTTGTTCCTCAGATTCAATAATTTCAAGACACTTGTCTTCAAGGTTGCTGATTCTTTCTTCTGCCTGATTAAATTTGTGTTAAACCTTTCTAGTAAATTTTTCAATTCATTTTTTTTTGTTGTTGTTTTTTAACTCCAGGATTCCTGTTTGGTTCTTTTTTATCATTTCTATCTTTTTGATGATATTCTCATTTTATTCCTAAGTCACTTTCCTTGTTTTGTTTATCTGTCTGTGTTGTCTTTGAGCTCATTGAGCATATTTAAATCAGTTGTTTTAAATTCTGTGTCAAGTAAGCCAAAGGCCTGTGTTTTTTTAGGGTTGGTTTCTGGATATTTATTTTGTTTCTTTGAATGGACTATCCTTTCCTGTTTCTTTTTATGCTTTATCATCTTTTGTTGAAATCTGGGCATTTAAAAACCAGCTACCTCTCCCAGTCTTTGAGGAATGGTTCCTTGCAGCAGAAGGCCTTCACTAATTAGCCCAGTTTAAAGGCTCAGGGTCAATTCAGATCTTTGCTGGAGATGTGTCTTCCCTGGGCCTTTGCATGTGCTTTTATTCCCATTCCCCATATACTTGGTTGCTTTTAAATGTATTAATTTCCCTTAGAGTCTTACCCCTGCTTCTTAGAAGCCTTGGAAGTTCTCTTCTATTTATTTGCCCATAATCTCTTGCCCCCAGGCACCTGTGGGTGTGCAGACCTCCTGCAGCTCACACCTGCCACTGCTTTGAGTAGCCTCCAACCTGATATGCAAACTATGCCACCATTCAAATCAGTGCTCCAAGTCAGGTGAAACAGAAACCAATCCCTCAGGCTGCCTGTAGACAAGACAGAGCATTGCAAGCAACTTCCACTCTTTTCCTTCTATCCTAAAGGAGGAACTGTGAATTGGGCACCTTCCTCTCAATTGTACCAAGCTGTACTGGGGAGGGGGTGGGGCAATGATGAGCAAAAGCACTATGAATATTTCTACCATTTTGGGTATAGCTTTTTCTTGGTTAGGCATTCACTTGCTTGCTGAAGCTTCTTAACTGATTTCGAGAGTTCTCACAAAGCTACTTCAGTCCATCTATTGTTTATTTAGAGTTTCGATGGGGAACAAGGGCCTGGAGCTTCCTAGTTTGCCATCTTGCTGATGTCACTCCCTGTTATTTGTTAAAACTGCATGTGACTCTATAATTATCTCAAAATTAAAAAATTCATTTAATTTTTAAAAAGAAGCTCAAATTTGCTCAAGTCCAAAGTGTGTCCTTCAGCAGAGGTCTTTCTGATAAGAGCTTTACTCTTCAATTACGAGCATGCCCAGTCTTTTTAATGTCATCAAAATTACCTTACTTTTGAGATCTGCCCACCTACCAGGCTAATATTTTCTTCACACAAGGAAAACATAAGTAATCTATTCCTCCAGCTAAACTAACCCAATTTTTTTCTTTTTGTTTATTTAAGGTTCTGGTGTGGGATGTATAACCGCTTTGACAAAGGGCTGCAGCCCAAACAGAGTATGATAGAGAGCCTCCTGGAAATTAAGAAGCAGAGAGCAATGCTGGAGGCAGATGTGCACAAACTGGAAAAGGTGAGGATAAAAGTCAGGAGATCCTCTTGCCCCTTCTGGGTAGGCCCAGCCCACTTGGAGTTGAGTTCGTACTTGTGAGAAGCTGCCTGGCTGGCTTGTACTCTCTGGCTTCCAGCTGTCCTGTGTATACAAAGCTCTGAGGCACAACTCATTCTTACTTCCCATAGAAAGTGGTAAATATCACACTCAGCTAGTTAAACAACTGGATCGGTTTCTTCTTTGGATCTGGCTGGAATTAGGAGGAACAAGAGGGAATGACAGAGAAATCATACTGGCATTTGTTATCCATCAAGAGAATAAGTATAATATCTTGGGTGTTGTAGATGCAAAATAACCAATAACCATTCTATAGATAAGAGAAATAAGGTGAGTTTTACTTGAGCTACAGTGAGGATTATAACCCAGGAAGGCCTTAGAAAGCGTTCCAGAGAAGCATGGTTTTCAGTACAGTCTTATCTTTTTAGAACAAAGAACATACATTAAACACAACCAGGATACATTTTCAAAGTTTCAAAGAGGTATTTAGTTACAAATTAGCAAGTCCACATGACCCTGATGTCCGGAAAGGGACTAATACAGGTATTACCAACAGGGTGTAGGAGGGGAAGTATGCATTCTTATCTTAAGAGAGTGCATTCTTTAATGGTTAAAGCAGATGTACAATGTATGTTCAATAGGCCGTTAAGTCTGGCTTCTTTACTTCAAGCCAAATCAATTTTGAACCCAGATACTTACCCCATATACCACAATATGTGAAAATCTCTTGTCGGTGTACTGATAAGAACGATGAAATTGTTTTATTTCCAACTAAGAAAACCTTATAAAAAAATTCTCATTTCCTTCCCATGTAGATTGCAAACTTTGTTCATTGAGTGGTCATGCTATGTGTGATGATTTTGCATTATGATACTAGCAAAACCAAGGTCAGACACTTGTTTTTAACTACAGGTTAAACAAGTCAACAAGGATTTCCTTTCAAAATATGGAAAATGCTGAGCTGCTTCTGGAATCTAGGGGTCCCTAAGGGTGTGTTTTAAGGAGAGGGGAGGGGTACCTCTTAGAAAAGAATTCTTGGAAAGGGTGTGCTGTTTAGGAACTGGGAGTGAACCTACTTTAGGCCAGATAAGGTAAGTAAACAAATATTCTTTTATTGTGAAAATAAATGTACTGTGATTACATCAGATCCCAAACTTTTGAATGTGCTCTTGGGAGGCAACAGTCAGTTACTTGGTTCCATTAAAAAAAAAGAAGAAGAAGAAAAAGAGGCAAAATTGAATCATGACTTAAAATAATAGGAAAAAGGGAAAACAAGCAGCCCCAGGAGGACCAAGCCCTGGGCAGAACTGAGAAGTAGGGAAACTTTTTCCCAGGGTCTCCTGCCTCTCCATTTAGGTATTAGCAGTCTTCTCTACAAGTTCCCCAGAGCAGGTCCCCTACTCTAGATCCAGCCCTCTCACTTATTCTTAGCTAATTCTTGAGAAAGAATCAGATTCATTCTACATAGAATCAGATCACTCTCTGATTCTGAAGTAAACAAGTAAGGCTTCCTTTTAAAATATATACATGGCAATTATTAACATTCTTTTTTTAATACAGAGAATAAAAACAAAAGTGGCCCATAATATTATTACCCAGATAACCCTGCTGACACTTAAAAAAAGGCAATACAGGTATTAAGTTAGAATGTGCAGAATACAAAAACGTACAAAATGAAAAGTTTAAAAGACTCCCCCAGCTACCTACCCATACAGTTCCTCTTTCAAGGGTTATCACTGTTTTTTTGGATGTGTGATTTTGTGATTTCTAGGAAAATAAAAATGATATGCCTATACCCTAAGGTAGGAGCTCTAAACTCAAGTCCATGAACCCATAGTTGTCCACAGATGCCCATCGGGCGATCTGTGAAGCTCCTGAAATTTTACCTAAAAACAGTGTGTGTGCTGTCTCATGTACACACATGTGCATGCATACATTTTCTGAGAAGAAGATCCATCATTTTCTTCAGATTTTCAAAGGTGTCTATGATCCCCAAAAAGTTAAGAATCACTGTTGTAAAGTATCAGTGAATCATTGTGTTATCCTTGAAAGCGAAAATATCCATTGGAGGTAGCATGAGGTAGTAGACAGGTCGTAGGCTTTGGCATTAAGAAGAGGCAGGGTCAGATCCCAGGTCTACCACTTCCTAAATGTGTGAATTTGGGTGACTTACATAAATTCTCTGAGCCTCAGTTTTCTCATCTGTAAAATATACCTAATACCTACACTAATAGAATTCTTATAAGTATAAAAGGAAATACTATATGTAAAGACACTGGCACCTAGAGGTATTTAGTAAATGTTAGTGATCTTCTCCCTTGCCCTCCCTGCTCCCAGGAATAAAATTGTGTTTATCAGAAAAGAGGAATTTTATAGATACAAGATGCTTGAGGATCTTTAATGGTAGGGCTTTTAAAGCACTAAGTCAAATGATGAAGAAAAGACATTTGGAGATAAGGAGGGGACAAAAGGTCATTGGCTATCATGTAAGTGACAGCAGGCAGAATCCCTGCAGGTCAATGTGGTATTTGCCTCGTTTTTTTTTTTTCCTGTTTCTAAGTCTTTTCAACCATTTCTTGCTCCTGTGACAGAAACTGAAAGCTCGTGATGAGCCACCAGAAGAAGTTTGTACCTGTTCTCAATTAGGGAATTTATTATCTCAGCATCTGGGAAGTCCTTTGACCAATCCTCTCAGCTTTATGGGTATCGATGGAGACCTGAATACCTTGATGGAGAATGGTACCCTGTCCAGGGAAGGAGGCCTCCGAGCTCAGATGGATCAAGTAAAAAGCCAGTGTGCAGACCTCCACCGTGACTGTTGTGGAATCATGGGTAGCCTTAGGGCCATAAACATTTCTGGGGATGTGGGCTCCTCTGGAGACACAGGCATCACTGGGGCCATGAGCATCTCTGGCAACTCAGGCATCTCTGAGGCTATGGGCTTCTCTGAAGACATGAGTATCTCTGGGGCCATGGGCTTCTCTGAGTGCATGGGCATCTCTGGGGACACAGGCATCTCCAAGGCCTGCACCAAGGAGGCGGGCTGCTCTAAGCAACAGTAAGCTACTCATCTGCTTCCTTACTAGGTGTGCCTGCAGCACCCACAATGATCCTTGTTCCAAAGAAGGTTATGCTGCTTTTCCAATTGGTTTAAATGAGTGAGGCCAGGGTACCTCTCTTCCCATTAAGAGTCTGGAAGGGGATTTAGGGCCTTTACTGGTTAAGCAACCAGTATATGCATGTCAAGTAGCCAAGAATGTAGGCAAAACAAAGAATATGTTATTGTTCTAGAATGGGATTTCACTTTAGAACTGTTGCCTTTCAGCTGAGATATTAGGCTGGTTCCATTATTCCATTTTTTTTTTAATGATAAACCTCCCCTACTTTTCTACCCTCATTGCTGTAGCATGAGAACAAAGTGGAAATATTGTCACAGTGGAGAACTAAGACCCTGTTGAGGGGATGGAGACACAGTGTGCAGCAGATAACTGAATTGCAGAATGGTTTAAAAGAAAATTTTACTTTCAGGTATGTTTAGTGATAGGATGTAAGCTAACATTATTGCCAGTAGAGACCCCAACATTTGCCTGAGAAATAAATGAAAATGATCCTTAACTCTTAGTATGCATGCTTGGTGGTTTAGAACATATAACAAAATAGTTTTCTTAAGTTACAACCCTTGCTTTCCTCAACCCACACCCCAGCTAGGTCTTGTAATACGCAGCCAACTCCTTTTTTCATAGATAGCCCATAGGTAAACTTGAATCCACTACATTCTAAAATGATCAATTCCAAATTAGTGAGGTCTGAATTAATAACATTGATTAATAGCAATCTCAACCTCAGTTCAGAAGACAACTGAAAATCTCAGTGCTTTAGACCCTGGCTTACACATGGCCTATGTGCCCATCTGAGTTTTCCTAAAACAACCCTCTTCTTAGGTCTTTTTATGAAGACCAGTGGTTTTGCTTCTCTAGACATCACATCAAGTTTGTGGATTTTTAGACACAATTGGCACTACTTTTAAAATCTGGTGGGTTTATCACCTTATGCTAATGTACACTTTCAGAAAAAGTTCATTCTTATAGCAGGTCCAAATACTCCTAGGAGAAGATATGTGTTCCTTGTTGTTTAAACACTAGATTTTCCCCATAGGGTTGTAAGAAAGTGTACTTACTGTACACTTTCCTATTGGATATTCAGTCATGGTTTACCCGCTTCCACATGCTGAGGTGAGGTGAGCTTTGGGCAGTTTGGGTCATGTACTATATACTGTCAACATTTCCATTGCCAACAGAATCCTCACCTAAGATGTCTATTCCAAATACTCTATGCCTGGTTTAAGCTCAAAAATGAGATGTGTTAGTGAAAGAGCCATCTCTGTTACTACCACATCCAGTTGTAAACACAAATGTCTCTAAAAGATCACCTTATTAGTTACTTTTCTTTGTAAGAAAAGAAGTGCCTTTTAATTTAAGTGTTAGAAGTGGAGAGAAGAGCCAGGATAGTTCCTTTATTTCTTCCCCCTAGCTAAACTATGAACCCAAAACAACCTTCCTCTTTAGAGGAAGAACTCTAAATCATTTGGGTTGTCTTTTTTTCATGTGTAAATAGGAGCCATTTTTCTACTTATCTTTTCTTGATAGCTGCCTTGTTTCTATAATTTTAAAGCATCAAGGTGATTTCCTAATTGTATCTTCTCTGATCCCTCTCTTTCCACAATTTGGTCCTTGGCTTATACAACCTAAATCATAGATGTTGCCAGTTGCCATTTGACTTCTTACTTCTGGAAAAAAATGGGATTTATGCAAATCGTTTTGAGCTGGAGGCTTCATCTAACCCTGGTTTTGTGAAGGAAGTTGTCAAAGAGGATGCCACAATTGAGTCTATTCTGGGTCTCGCTTTATACCCAGGGCTTTTTCCCATATCTCAATCTGAATTTTACAGTCTATTACCATGATATTCCAGATACAGTGTGTTAAGGTTTTTTCAGGGAAAGGAAAAAGGCAAATGGTGAGACATAGTAGTTTTTGCAAATAAAACTACTATAAAAAGTTAGTTCAGGGGTCTCAGATTTATTTCTACAGACCTGTACAAGGGAAGTACATAGTACCAAACCTTATTTCTTAGATCCAAGATAAAATTAATCAACAGTGGAAAAGTCTTTTCAATACAGTTCTAAACTGAGAAGTGGTAAAGAGCCACACTGGTATTTCCAAAAGCAAAAACAAAATTTTTAAAAAGACTGTCTTATTTTGTTGAGGATCTAAGGCCATGGAATCAATTTCAGCCTAAAGATCTGTGAGGTCAATTTGTTTTATCTTTTATTATTTTTATTCCCCAACATGTCCCATTATTGCTTGTATATAATATACATGGACCTAAGGAAAGCCTTGTGAAGATCCCCTGTTTACTCTCAACACCAAACACCTCCCCATTTCACAGTTGGATTTGAAACTCTGAGAGAGGAAAAAAGTTCAGTGGAATCCAAATATTTATGTACTGTTAAAAATCCAGTAGTTGTCAATAGTCAGGAGCCTAGCAATAGAGAGTAGACTCCTGAAGGAAAGTTGCTAGGTGTACTAGAAAAGATGATCTATTAATGTCTTTCATTTCATACCCTCATATAGCACCTATGCTGTGAAAGAAATGTGACTCCCTCCCTCACTGACCTACCCTTCTAGTTCCCTGAGCAGAAATTCCATTCTCATGTGACTGTCCCACTTAAATAGGAAGGCATTTAACCCCTTGCCACTGTCTCATCCACTACCGGAACTCTGCCTTTTTTCTGCACAAGTTTCATGGGCCTGGGGTCACTACTTATCTTTTCTAAGCATGAGGCACACTCTATGCCTGTGTTGTGGCCGTGCTCAGGTTCGCACAACATTTTTTAAAATTCATTAATTATTTACTTACTTTATAGAATGACAGATTCCTCATGGTAATAAATAAAATAACAAAATAACCAACCTAAGTAACAGCTAATGGTCTGACTTTTTAAAGAAGAAATTCAGGGATAGGGTTTGATATATGAAAGAAAACCTGAAACTCTATTTGGAACTAACAGGGCAAGAATGTAAAGCTTATGGTGCATGTATTGGGCACAGTTATCTTTGGAAAGTCGCCCTAGAAATTGTATTCAGTTACTACCAAGTCAGTTGTCATTGCCTATCGATGTGCATGGACACATTTTGTCTGAGACACACCTCATACTTCACTGAAAGTAAGATCTTGCCCTGATCCCTTCCAACCAGAAGGAACCCAAGTCTTTTTAAGAGGTGCTTTTCAAACCAAATTGGTAAATATTTAAGCTTGACCCGAATTTAGCAGAAAGAGAAGTTTAATAACTATGTCAGATCTTTGTTACATACTGGTTTTTATTAAACACATAACACCTTTTCTTGATGCTGTTAACCTTTGATATACCACTGGGAAATCTTTCTATGAGAGCATTTTATAAAGTGGCAGTTTATAAACTGTTTTCAAATAGTTGCACAGGGAAATGTAAATTACCTTTTAAGAAAAATACTTCTCTCAAAATGGGTATACTATACTTCAGATTGGTTTATACCTAGGAAGATTGTTCTCACTTTCTCTCTTAATTCCCCATGTGTATGATTTAGTGTTATCTGTTGTACCAAATCTTTTCCCCACCCTCAGGCCTCTCGCTCCTGGAATTCTATGTATAGTACAGGCAGATAGGATTCCAGCCAAATATGGTTGCTTTCTTCTAAGTGCCAAATGTAGAACTGACTTTTGATATAGTTTGAAAAACAAACAAAAAGTAAACATGGATTAAGCCTTAAATTTTTTCCTGTGGGGTTGTTTTTCTCATATAATGTGAAAAAATGGCTTGGCCCTTAGGTGACACCCAACAGACAAAGGACAAGGGAAAATATTTGGGGTTGTAAAGGACTATTAGTTTGTTATCTTTTTAAAGGCAGTTCTGTTTTCAAAGCATTTGATGGCAACACAGAAGCTTTCCCAAGGCAAAAAAAAAGTAATTTTCAAGCCATACAGAACATGTCTTCTCCAATTCCTTGGCTGTGAGACCGACAGTCTGTGCCTTCCCCTTAAATAGGAAGTTTTGGTTTTGTCACCAATCATGGCAGCCCATGTCTCCTTTAGATGTCAGTGCAAGTAAAAGCGTGTTACATGCTCTGTGATTTGTGAATTGTCTTCACAAAAGGCAAGTGTACTAGAAAGCAGCTAATTTAGACCCGTGTGTCTTGCTGGGGCTAAACAAAAACATGTTCAGAATTTGGCCAGTGTGAAACCAAAGGCTTCCATGTTAAGTCCGGTGCTCTGCCTCCTAGTGTTTTCTAAAGCTTGGGGGGTGAACTAAAAGCCTCTTTCTCTTCCAAAGCTTTATTGCCTTTCAACCATTTTCATGGCTTTGTACTCTGACTCTTTAGAGAGCCCTACACCAGCCCTCATAGAATCTCACTTGTGGAGAAGTTGAGAGGGGGAGGGCAGGAGGGAAGAGAAGGTAAAACAGAAATACACCTGTCCAGTTAAGCAAAGGAGCATATGCATATCCAGGATGACCAAAATTCCAGTTAAGATTTCATGTGCTCCAATAAGGTCCAAAAAAGGTCCTCTTTTCCAGGCAGTACTGTGGCTGATGTATTTTCTTTTAAGGCTATCTGTTACACTGGCAGAAACTCTTTCATTAAGAATGCTCTGAGTTGTGTATTTTCTTTGTCAACACTTTTCTCTGATAGGACATGTGATCCTGGATTTTTTTCTTTTAAAAGGTCAAGGATAGTGGGTGGTATTCTCTTCCCTTAATATGTCCCTAAGGCAGATGAGTTCTGAACCCCTTCTTTGCCTCTTTGTAGCTGAAACATCATTAGGCCCTTCACCAGTCAGGTGAGAATATTTACACCAAAGTCACTAGGTGATCACTGTTGAAATACTGATGTCTCTGATCCCACCTCACATGCAGTTGGACACACTGGTTCATATAAAATATCTCCACCTCACTCACATTTGCAGACAGGGTTGTTTCATAATTTGTAAATGCCAATAGGCATGCAGAGCACATATTCTAGTTCTGAAACGGAGCATGTTCGGTATTCTAGTTAACAGTGCCTCAGGCTTAGGAACAGCTAACAAGTTCAGTCCTTTTGGAATGTAGCTTATAGTAAGATTATTTGTATATGTGTTTACTCTAACTTTAGTAACATCTGGTCTCACAGGTCATTTGGGCATTCAAATGAAGAGAATTTATCTAAGAATAAAAAACACTTTTAGTGCTAGACCTCTAACTTTGATATTGTCCGCTAAGTGCCATGAGGAATTTAGGGTATGTTAAGCCAGAGATGAAAACCAAAGTGATGGTGAAGCAATTGGCCTTTTCCCTGGGATGTGTTGATCAGGCAGCTTTAGAAGTAGGATTCAAATATATGACCAGTATTATCTGTAGTGTGTTAATGTTAGCCACATACCTGCATGGACATCATGCAACTGATGTATAAATCAGAATCCAAGCTGCATAGGTTCTTTGAGGACCTGACTT